CACTATGGTATGGTATTTCACCTTTCTTGTCTAGTGTAATGCTCTTGTTTCGGTGTGTAAGCCACTCGGTGTGTATGGTAAACCATGCATTACCTTTGATGAGTATGAAATCTTAAACATGTGTAACGAATAAAGTTATAAAGATGTTGATCTATAGTATGATGACTGATTATTTTTTATCCCGAAACTCACCGTTTGTGGGGAGCAAAAGGCGCCTTGCTGAGAAGAAATTGTATAATAGCAGGGCCGACGTGGCCGCCCTCCACACCGCGCGCCCTCTTGCATGCCAGGTCGGTCGACACGGCCTTCTAGACAAATCCAGAGTATCGGTGGCGTCTCCATCCTTCGCTGCTACTCTCGTGAGACATCGGCACTTGGCTGCATCCAGGCGCTCTGCAGTTCGCGGCCAGGTAGCCTGCAGTACTGCGCCACCAGCCTCCGGCCATGGCCGCGCCCCGCCCCACCGTCCTCATTACCGGCGCCGGCGGCTGCACATGTACCCTTTCCCTCTTTCCCCACCCCGTCACCGCATTCTGATCTCCAGCATTTCTCCAACCAAACCCTAACGAATCCAGGCAATTCCGGTCAGTGGCGGAGACAGGGGGACCAGCAGGGGCTTTGCCCCCCCCCCCCCTCCCCCTAATATCACTGGCCTAATACTAGTGTAAATATTGACTTTTTTGTTGTTAAAACAATGCATTTTAATGATCTGGCCCTCCCAAACAAGGTTTAGCAACGTTTGGCCCTCCCAATTTGATTTTCCTGGCTCCGCCACTGATTCCGGTTCAGGGCGTCATTGGCCGGAGAAGAGGCGATGAGATGAAGAAGACAGCTAGCCATGAAAGCTAGGGACAAATCTTCATGCCCGGTAGAAAATAAAGTGGTTCACGGATGTTTTCTTAATACTTCAAAATTACTACGGACAACTTCTTAAACTGCAGCGCTACTTTCATCCAAACACTTCAAAGTATTATTCTTTTTTTTAAGGCGACACTTCAAAGTATTCAATACCATAGTTTTTTTAGAAACCACGGTATTTCCAAAATACTCCAAAAATACTTTGCAAACAAACTGGCCCTAAACTTTACTGACAGGAAACATGCAGTTTCACTACACGCCGAGTGGATATAGCACGTATTGACCGGGCTCATTGGTCGCTAAAGCTAAACTTTATTGATTCACTACTTCCTTCGTTTCAGTTTACAAATCCTGCGCGTATATCTAGGTTGTCAATTTTATCACCGTAATATAAACTATATAACACAAAAATTATACCGTTTGAAAAAAAAACATCTGAAGTTTATAATGGTATGTTTTTTGTAATATATGACTTCTATTAGGTTGATCAAATTGACGACCTAAGGGTACACGCACGCCTTATAAACTGAGAGAGAGGGAGTAGTACACTTTATTTCTCGTCTCTTCGGAGTTCAAGATTTGGCGCGCTTCCCCATCACCCAACAGTTGGTCTGTGGAATTTGTATGCGCTGGGTCAGTCAACTCATATGGACTCTTCACAGTTCTCGTCTGAGTCCGCTGACCCGGTGGACGGGGTTTCGAACTTTCGATGTTACTACTACCGGCCGGTCGAACTGGCGTGCATGGCCGAGGCAAGTAAGTATTACTGCACACACTCGTACTTACCCATTCGTACGTCCACTACCCAAAATGGCCGGCCCAAGGCCGGCGATCCTCCTAGCGACGTGGTGCCTCATCTTCCTCCGGAGCTCGTGAGCCCCAGCCCTGCCTGCACTCCGGCCACCGCCACCACCATAGCACCGGGAGGCACCCTCTGCATCCCCCACGAGCGAGATGCGCTTCTCGCCTTCAAGGCTGGCCTCACCGATCCGAGCAACTACCTTTCGTCGTGGCGGGCCGAGGAGGACTGCTGCCGATGGATGGGCGTCAGGTGCAGCAACCGGACCGGCCACGTCGTCAAGCTCCAGGTCAACAGCTACGGAGCAATCGGAGGTGAGATAAGCTCCTCCTTGCTCACTCTACGACATCTCAAGCACCTGGACCTCTCGTCAAACTACTTTGGTGGGAGATCCATTCCTCAATTCATCGGTGACCTCTGGAGCCTGGCTCATCTCGCCCTCACTGATTCGTTCTTCGGTGGGCGAATCCCTCCTCACCTCGGGAACCTCTCGAATCTGCTCAGTCTTGACCTCTCAATTCTGGGTTGTTACTCGCCCGATCTCTTATGGGTGACGCACCTACAGAAGCTACAACACCTCGACATGGCTGAGATGGACCTTAGCGCTACCGTCAACTGGACTCATGATGTCAACATGCTCCCCTCTCTGGTAACCCTTGAGCTAACATCTTGTGGGCTTCGTAACATTATGCCTCTACCGTTGCACTCTAATCTCACGTCACTAGAAACCCTTGACCTCGACTCCAATTCCTTTAACTCGTCCTTTGGAGCCAACTACTTGGCTTGGGAGCTACCTGCTCTCCAACTTTTTTACATGGATACATGTGAAATCGTGGGTTCTATCCCTGACGCAGTGGGAAACTTGACCTCCATTCAATCATTGTCCCTCATAGAAAACAACTTCTTTGGCATGGTGCCATCCACCTTCAAGAAACTCAAGAGACTACAAGCGCTCCGTCTATCGGAAAACTTCATTGGCGGGGGTACGGAAGATCTATTTTATAGATTGCCAGGGGATGAGTTACAAGAGTTGTATTTGGACCACAACAATTTGACAGGGACTCTTCCAGATCGGCTAGAAAAATTTAGCAGCTTGTCCACACTTTGGCTCAATAATAACAAGCTATTCGGAGAGATACCTGTCGGTATACGAAAACTCACAAATTTGGTGGACCTGTGGTTGGACTCAAACAATCTGCATGGTATAGTCACCCAGGACCATTTCACCAATATGACTAGCCTGCAAAATTTGTGGCTCTCTGGTAATTCCATAACTATGTTGGTCAACAACACATGGAGCACTCCATTCAGCTTAACGTCAGCGGGCTTTAGATCTTGCATCCTAGGCCCCCAGTTTCTGGCATGGATTATCCAACAAACACTATACACCCTTGATATTTCAAACACAAGCATACATGACTCCATTCCTGGTACTTTTGGATTGGAATGTACCGTTGTCGAGTTCTGGATCTATCGGAAAATCAGATTTATGGCATGCTGCCCACATATTTTCTGTTTGGTGGAATGGAAGCTGTTATACTGGATATTAGTTCTAACCAGCTCGTTGGCCCGATTCCAACACTCCCAATGAACCTCAGCTTGTTGGACCTCTCTGGGAACAACCTATCTGGTGCATTGCCATCAGATATCAGAGCACCAGGGCTAGAAATACTCATGCTCTTCAAAAATTCCTTTTCTGGGACCATTCCATGCTCCCTCTTTGAGCTGCAAAATTTGCGGTTTCTAGATCTATCAGAGAACAAACTAAATGGGACATTGGCCAATTGCCTCCGTGCACCCAAAACTTCAAACGTGACCATGCTTAACTTGAATAACAACAATCTTTCAGGAAGAATCCCACCATTTCTTCAGAGGTGTAAAGAGCTAAAATTCCTTGATCTCGCATACAATGAATTTTATGGGAGCTTACCGACATGGATCGGCTCAAAGCTACCATCCTTGGCATTTCTGCGGTTGCGGTCAAACATGCTCTCTGGTGGCATCCCTGGCGAACTGACCAGGATGCATGGGCTTCAATATCTAGACATTGCAAGCAACAACATCTCAGGGAACATACCACAGTCGCTTGGGAATCTCATAGATATGGCTCATACTCCCGATCAAGATGGTGCCCTTTTCAAAATTGTCAACTTTGGGCTTGTCTCCGTCTACAAGTACACTAATGCTTATACTGATAGTTTATCGGTGGTCACAAAAGGTCAGCAGTTGGAATACACAACAGGAATCGCATATATGGTAAACATTGATTTCTCTTGCAACAGTTTGACAGGGAAGATTCCTCATGAAATCGGCATGCTCACTGCATTGACAAACTTGAACCTGTCACGGAATCACCTTAGCAGCACAATCCCTGTGACTATTGGGGAGCTACGTGCAATGGGATCTTTGGACCTCTCACATAATGAGCTCTCTGGTGAAATCCCGGCGAGTATGGCAGATCTAACTTCACTTGCCCACTTGAACTTATCGTACAACAATCTGACAGGAACCATACCTTCTGGCAATTAGTTACAAACTTTAGATGATGCGTCAATCTATGCTGGCAATCCAGGTCTTTGTGGTCCGCCTGTATCAAAGAATTGCTCGGGAACGGAAATCACTCCATGGACTCCTGAAAATCAGCATGAGGGCATGAGCGAAGCATTGTCATTATACCTCGGCATTGGCACGGGATTCGTAGCAGGTCTCTGGATCATCTTCTGCAGCTTCTTATTCAAGAGGAGCTGGAGAATTATTTGGTTCTCGTTGTTCGACCGCGTTTGTGATTGGGTCTACGTGCGAGTGGCGATGAGCTGGGCTTCATTCACAAGAGAAGAGCAGTAGAAGCTGAGATCATTAGGGTCTGTGGTCACAATAGCCGGAGCTTCCATTTCGGCACAATATGATATGGGGTTGTAACAATATTTCACCTTTCTTGTCCGCTGTAAATGTAATGTATTGCTCTTCTTTCGTGTGCAAGTCACTCGGTTTGTATGGTAAACCATGAGTTACCTTTGATGTGTATGAAATCTTAAACATGTGTAATAACGAATAAAGATGTTGATCTCTATGGTATGATGACCGTGTGTGGGGAGCGAAAGGCGCCTTGCTTCGAAGAAAGCGTAAAGCAGTCAGGCGCGACGTGGCCGCCCTCCACGCCGCGCGCCCTCCTGGCATGTCAGGTCGGTCGGTCGGCACGGCCTTCTAGACAAATCCAGAGAGAGTATCGGCGTCGTCTCATCCTTCGCCGCTTCTCTCGTGACACATCGGCACTTGGCTGCGTCCAGGCGCTCTGCAGTTCGCGGCCAGCTAGCCTGCAGTACCGCGCCACCACCCTCCGGCCATGGCCGCGCCCCGCCCCACCGTCCTCGTCACCGGCGCCGGCGGCCGCACAGGTACCCTTTCCCTCCTTCCTTCCCCGCCCGTTTCTCCGACCAAAACCCGACGAATCCGCCTGCCACGACGGGCAATTCCGGTCCTAACGCTCGTCGAGTCGATCGCAGGCCAAATCGTGTTCAGCAAGCTCAGGGAGAGATCCGACCAGTTCGCGGCGAGGGGCCTGGTGAGGTCGGAGGAGAGCAAGCAGAAGATCGGGGGAGCCGACGACGTCTACGTGGCCGACATCAGGGAGGCGGAGCACCTCGCGCCCGCCGTGCAGGGCGCCGACGCGCTCGTCATCCTCACCAGCGCCTCCCCCAAGATGAAGCCGGGGTTCGACCCCACCAAGGGCGGCCGGCCCGAGTTCTACTACGAGGACGGAGCCTACCCTGAGCAGGTTGGGGTTTCTTCTCTGTACTGTACTGTACCACAATTTGGATTCAGAGTGTGCCGCTCCCATAATAAGTACAGTTTCAGGATGTGTCTCCTCTGTGTTTCAGTGACATGCCACATCCTGAAATCTTTATCGGTTATTAAATAGTGATGAATTTTGGTGTGGATGTGTGGCAGGTGGACTGGATTGGGCAGAAGAATCAGATTGATGCTGGTAAGCTTCTTCTTGGTTCTGCATTTATATGTGATAGGTTTATCTGAATGTTTGATGAGTGGGATTGTGTGTTGGACAGCAAAAGCAGCCGGTGTGAAGCACATAGTGTTGGTGGGATCCATGGGGGGAACAAATCCCAACCATCCATTGAACAGCCTTGGCAATGGCAATATACTGGTAAGTAATTGTAGACGAGTCTATATGTCTCTTCACCTTTACTTCATTGCAGTTCATTTGCTCGTGCTTCCACGAAAAACTTTATTATCTGGAAAGCCTTAGTACCATTCTCTGAACATTGCTTGGCAGCAGATGAGCCATCTGTCTCAGAAATCTGAAGGATTGTTCGTCATAGAAATGTTCAGTTGATAGATTTGTGAGTTTTGACTATTGACAGGTTCGCCATAAAAATGTTCAGTCGATAGATTTACAACAGTTAGATCCATAATACAGGAAAAAACAACTTAATGAAGAAAGTTTTGCAAATAGACCTTTCTGAATATTAAGTTCCTGTCATAGCTAAAATTTGGAAGTTCTGTATCCTCTCTATTGGGCTGGAATGTTCATTTCAGAAAGTCTTGCTTTTGTTTTGTTTTCATCGAAGCTTCATTTTGTCTCATCCAAATAAAACAATGAAGGAAAGATAGAAATAAAAGATACAGTGCGTACTCAGCTAGTCGTGGTACCGTTGATCTAATAAGCCACTGAGACAAATTCATTTTGCAAATTCAGACGATTATATTATTGAAAATGTGAAATCTTGATTATTGATCTTGATGTAGGTCTGGAAGCGCAAGTCTGAACAGTATCTGGCAGACAGTGGAGTTCCTTATACAATCATAAGGTACATAAAGAACATGCACCAGTTTGGATAAAAAGGCATCCTTCAGATCAATTATTCTTGAAACAGAGTTGCCCACCTTTCTGAAGTGGTGTACTTAATTACACTAAATATCAATCACTTTGGATAAGACTGAAGATCTGCTATAGAAGTTTGGAATAGTTCCTTGTATACCACTAAATACCTTTGAATGCCTCAAAGAAAAGGTGGATCCACCTCCACATTTAATGAGACAATGAGTGACATATAAAGGGGTGAGGCAAACACTCGGTGCGATCTAGTAGTTTTTGCTCATCTAATTAGTTAATTACCATCTCTCTTGAATTGTCTAAAATTTATGCTACATGTTTCACAGTTGGACTGCTGCAGTTAAATTGGATAGGTAGTTTTTGTGAAGCTAGAATAGAAGTGCATTGTGCTAATATGCACAAGAACACTAGAACAGGTTAACTATTCGCTGATACATAATGTGCTACCGTTTTCTTCGTTTCCTTCAATTTAGGCCTGGTGGTCTGCAAGACAAAGATGGGGGAGTGAGGGAGCTGATTGTCGGGAAGGATGATGAGCTTCTCCAGACTGACACTAAGGCGATTCCTAGGGCTGATGTGGCTGAAGTTTGTGTTCAGGTATACCGTATTCTGTGGACACACTTGAGGACAACCATTCTGAATATTTACCCTCTTAAAACAGGCCCTGCAGTATGAAGAGGTAAAGTTCAAGGCATTCGATTTGGCTTCGAAGCCTGAAGGTGAGGGCACCCCAACGAAAGATTTCAAAGCGCTGTTCTCCAAGGTCACAGCCCGGTTTTGAGTCATCGGTTGAGGAGCATAAGTACATTTCTTAGCTTATAAGGATCTTAATGTCTCGAGTGTGTATCCTTGTGCATTATGAAGTTGCTGACTGATGTAATTGCACAATCGGTTTACCAATAATGCTGAAAATAGCCTCCTATCGATGCGTGGAGAATGGAGAAGCAATTTATGCATTTTCCTGAGATTTTTCTCTGAGGAGAAGGAGTCAGCAAACAATTGAGAATACATTGATACAGTTTAACGGATATGACTATCTTCTTTTCACACTCTTGACTCAGATCCGACGCACACCAATAATCCATACGAATTTTATCATTTACGCAACAGCTAATATATCACTCAGCAGCTCATATGCACCTTCCATTGAACTGAGAAATGAAACATCAGCGCTACCGATTCAAGGAACAAACAAACAGTTTGCAATACACATGCTTCATTAGGTACTCCCTCCGTCTCAAAATTCTTGTCTTAGATTTGTCTAGATACGGATGTACCTAATACTAAAACGTGACTTGATACATCCGTATTTGGACAAATCTAAGACAAGAATTTTGGGACGGAGGAGTACAAAACATATGCAAGAAGCTTCTGTTCTAGTCAAGTTCAGCAAAAATGTCCATCAACTCTGCTCCCAGCAAAGGGTCAAAATTCAACAACATAAGCATCAGAATATCAGATACAACAGAACGAAAAAGAAGTGATGAAATGTACCAGGCAACATATCTCTAAAGTTCTAGCTAGGTTTCCATGTGGATAGGGCGCCGATGACTCTGCCCTTCCAACCCTGCAGCATCCACTTGTTATCTTCGTCGACGAAGAAATCCCTGTGATAGCTCTTGATTACCTTGTATCTTGCCTTTTTCACCGACTCTTGAAGCAGAGGCACCTGCCTGAACCCTGCCCTGAGGTTCCTTACCTGCCATTGCTTGTAGGTCTCCGGCCTCTCGACCCTCTCCGTGCCCTCGCAGGCGACCACGTTGAGAACCTCCCGCCCGAAGTATTCCCTTTCGATCAGCTGCCTGTGCTCATCCGCCGGCGGTGCAGTCGCTTCGAGCATGTCGTAGAGCGAGGAGAAATAGAACAGAGCCTCCTTGAAGCGCGTCACGAAGAATGGCGCGTTGTAGGTGCCGTTGACAACCGCGTGGATGAACCGATGCGGGTTCATCTTCCTGATCGTGTTCAAGACCGTCTTCCTCGGGCTCTCGTCGGTCACCGTCTCGTCCATCATGTGCCGCATTCTGAACAAGCAGTTGACAATAAGAAGATCATCCTTGTCGATCCTGAGGTCTTCGACTCGGATGGCATCCCACTTGGCAGCAATTGCGCGATACTCGAAGGGGACATGAAACATCTTGGCGTACTCGCTTAACCGCCGGCCCGTCGCCTCTAAACGCTCTGCAGGCCGGAACCCTGGCTGCGGTAAGTCGATGGCGGTGATGCGGATTCTTGGGGGGCCGCCATCTCTCTTGGAGATCCGCTGCAAGAAGATTGGCCACTGGAAGCCCCAGTCTATACCATAGTCCACAATGTGCACGCTTGTCACACCCTTGGCAGCAGCATCCAAGATGGCTTCATTCGAGTAGAACCTGGACATCCTGATGAACGGGCATGCCGTCCCATATAGCTTGAATATTTTCAGCATGTCAGCGGAAGAAGTTCGCCGCGCGACAAGCGAGCGGTAGACGGTGCTACCGGTGCCGGCAAGGCGAGCCTCGAGCCCATTAGCAATGTAATGCGCCAGCCTCTGCCCGGCATCCCCATGAGGGGAAGAATGCCGCCTGATCTGCTTCAGCAACTCACCCGAACCGCGGTGATCATCGATAGCCGCGGCCTGGGCACAGTGTATGAGCAACGTCGTCAGGTCGACGGACTCCTCCTCCACGGTGGGCACTCCGGTCTTCCCCTTCTTGCGCCCTCTCCGGTTCCCTGACCCTTTCACGTACACGCTGCTGATCTCCGCTTCGGCCGGCAGCGGCGACTGGAGGATGCAGTTGACACCGTTGCAGAGGAGCACTTTGTCGAACATCTCCCGGACGGTCTCCTCCTCGGACAGCGCGAGCTGCTTGCGCCGCCTCTCGTCCTCCGGCTCCAGGTCGTCGTCGCCGTGCCGGTTCTTCCGGCCCTTGTGGACGGCGCACTCCTCCTCCACCTTCACGGAATCGCAGGGCACCAACTGGCAGGAGCTCTGCCTGCTGCTGACGAACATGTCAGGGGATCCTCCTCCCATTCCCGCGAAAGCGCAGCAGGGATCCGTCCAGGAACTGTGCTGGTACGCCGGCTTGGCGTCGGCGATGATGTCGACGAAGGGCTTGGCGACGGCGAGGAGCGCCGAGTCCCGCGCCGGCGCGGCGGCGGCGCCGGGAGCAGAGGACTCGTCGTCGTCATCATCCTCGAGGAGGAACTGGTTGATGTAGGCGAGCACGGCGTCGTCGGACGCTTCCTCGGGGCTCCCCAGGTCGGTGGTGGTCGAGACGGGGCTCGGCGTGCTGCCAATCAGCGCCGACTGCGGCGGCGACGGCTGGTAATGGGCGGCGGGACCGGCAGGAAGGCCGTGGAAGCCGTATGAAGAAGGGGGGAACCGGAGCTGCTGCTGCTGCTGGTGGTGGTAGTGGTGGTGGAGGGAGAAGTCGAGCGCGTAGGCGGGGGCAGCCGCCGGGTTGGGGACGGAGAAGACGTCCCCGTACTCCACATCCTCGCAAGAACCCATGCCGCCACGATCCACCTCCTTCCTCCCTTCCTTGAAGACTCTGCTGCCGCCGCCGCCACTTCTTGGCGCGAGATCTCGCAGTACTCACACGCAAACCCCACCTCCGGTGTGTCCTCGCAGAGGAAGACGAAGATCGATTGCTCGCTCCCGGCGAACTGGACAAGAAAGGGGGAGGGCAGGGAAAATCAACCCAACCCGGTGGTGGTTCTTGCAGGACCGAGCAGGCCAGTAGCGAGCGGTAGCGTGGGAGAGGCGGCGGCGGAAAGGGAAAAGAAATCGCGGGAGTACCTTGCGGGAGGCGGCCGGGCAGCGACTAGAAACCCCGAGGCTCGGGAGTCGGGAGGGAGGGAGGAGGAAGGAAGCGGGGGTGATTGGTGGGGAGCGGACGCAGACGCACGGCGACGCCGACGAGAGTCTCCAACCGAGCGTGCTGGTCTGGGTGGGAGTGGGATGGCGACGTGCCCTTTGATCGGCAGCCGCTTGCTCAAAAGTTGCGTCTTTTTCCGCTTTGTTTAGTGGAGCGGGAGTGATTTCGTCTGATCTGATCAGATTACCGGCGGCAGTAATAAATTACGGAGGGAAGGGGGAGTGGCGACGGGGATTGCGCCACCTGCTCCGACCTGGTCGTCTCGGAGGAGGTGGCGGGGAGAAGGGAATGGGGGCGGCGACATGATGCGCCACGTGCGCCACCAATCTTCTCCGCTCGCCGGTTAAACGGCGGCAGATGGATGGATGGCTCATTTTTGGTGTTAGGCTGCTTGCCTCCGGAACAGGGTGTCATCCTGTTGGCTAGGATAGCACGGAGCTATCTAAAAGCATCTCCAGCCGTTCGGCCCCCTAGAACGTCGAAAAAAAGCTGTCTGGGGCGAACTGGCGTTAGATTGGCCCCTCGGGGTCGTTTCTGCCCAGCCACGCCCCCAGGTGCCGCCTCCCGAGATGCTTCATATTCAAAAGTGAACGTTCCCGCTTCAAAAAAAAATACAGTTCGGCGATCATCGCAACAGTTCGGCGATCCGGTGCCACAGTTTGGCAACCAAATGAAAGGATACGCGGTAGTTCGGCGTACAAAAAAGGAAGGATGGGCGCGCGGGAAGGAAACGGCGATCAGACGTCGAGCTCAACCTTCGGCGTCGTCATCGGCGTGCGCGGCCTGGGAGGAGTCGGCGCGGCTTCCGGGCTGGTCGGCGCGGCTTCTGTGCTGCTGGGCGCGCCGGAGGCATCGTCAGCGGAGCTGGGCATCGCGTAGACGTCCTCTGTCGGGCTGGGTGGCGGTGTCGGCGTCGGTATCTGGTTCAGGATGAGGCCTCGCTCCGCCGAGAACCACGCCTTGAACTTCTCGTCGCGGCTCTGGAGCATGTCGGCGCCGCCCATCAAGAAAGCCAGATCGTTGTTCCTCTTCTTCGCGGCGACATTGGACCGGAGCAGGTCGAGTTTGACGGCGTTGTTCGTCATCAAAGCAGCCCACCTCGCCTCCGTTTTCTCTTCCCGCTGGGCGGCCCTGGTCTTGGCGTCGGTGATGCATTTCTCGATGGATTCTTGAACGCGCGCGGCAGCCGACTCGGCATATTTCGCCTTCTTGGCTCCTTTGTTGTCGTCTGGGAGCCCGTCGGCTGCGCCAACGGTAGGCGCGTCCGGCATGTACGTCTCCTTGGCCTTGGCGAGAGTACGCCGGACGCCCGTCCACTTCTCGCACTTGTCAATCCGCTTGAAAACATGGAGGTACTTGAACTCTACGTCGTTGTTGTCATCGCGAAACATGGCGAACGTGCGCAGCAACTGCGCCGAGAAAAACAACGTCAGTCGGCGCCAATGGTTCGCTATACCTGATCGGCGATGCTGGTGCTATAGTATGGGCGAAAGGCAATAGTATGGGCGGCGTGCTATACCTGATCCTCGATGCTGGTCCACTATCCGGGCGAGCCGCGACCTCCTCGATGATCCCATGCCTTTTGTTGCACGCCGTTTGGATGAGCCCCCAATAGTTCGCCATCGCCTTCGACCCACGCTTAATGTGAACGCCTTTGAAGTAGGGGTCGACGAGCTTGCGCTCGTTGAACTCGGCCTTGATGCGGGCCCAATACGTCTCGATGCTCTGGTTCGTGTCGATGACCGGGTCGAGGCAGACGACCTTCCACGCCTCGGCGAGGCACTCCTCTTCCTTGGACGCCCACTTGATGCGTGGCCCGACGGGCTTGGCCGCCGCTTTCTTCTTCTTCTTCTTGCCCTTCCTCGTCGGCGCCGGCTCCTCCTCCTCTTCTTCCTCGTCCTCCGGCTCTTCCTTGCCGTAGTCGAGCTCGTCGTCCATGTCGCCGAGGTCAATCGAGTCATCCTGGGTAGTGAACCCGGGTGAAGCGGCGGCGGCAGCCGAGCCAGCCGCGATGATGTCTTCCATGTCGGCCTCCGTTGTGTCGGCATCGTCGAGATGGGACGAGGAGGACGCTTGCGAGTAGAGGCCACGACAGAGAGGCGGCATCGGCGAGGCCGCATAGTCCGGCGGCAAGTACGTGTACGGCAGGTACTGCACGCCGGCGAACGCGGGCGAGGGCATGCGCTGAACTGGGCGCCCATGGGGAAAGGTGATGTTGGGGTTGAACCCTCCGTGGGCGTCGGCATAGCCCGGCAACGGCGTGCTCCATGGGTGCGGCAACGACGAGAACCCGGCCGGAGAGCCGACGCTTTGCTGGCTCCAGGCCGCGTACGGGTCGTTCCCACCGGGTTGATTCATCATCGCCGTGCGCGCCGCCTCGGCTTGTTCGGCCGCATTTTCCACCGCCGCCTGCGTCGCAGCTGCAGCGTGCGCTGCTCTCTCCCTGGCCTTCTTGGCCATGTTGTGCCTATCGGCGGTGACGGCCTCCCGGCGCTCCACATCCGCCTTCCACTCGTCGTTGCTCATGCCGGGGGGCTTGGACATCGGCGTCCTCGGCTTCCTTTGCTTCGGCTGGGCGACGGCGACGGCTGTGGGATCCGTGGCGGCGCAGGGCATCATGTTCTTCTTCGGCGGCATGGCGGGCGAAAGGGTAGGGAGGAGGCGGGGGTTTGGCGGGAGGAATGGAGAAGAGAGGGAAGCCGAGGAGGGGAAGCGGGAGGAAACGACAGGAAAAGGGCTTCGTGTCGCTGATAGAGCGGCCCCATGCCGCTTTTCGCTTCCACCGGCGCGCCCAGGCGACACCCGGCCGCTTGGGTTCGGGGCGGGAATGCCAGCTCTGGATTTCGTCCAAACCGGCGCTAAACAAGATCCTGGGGGCGCGACTAGGCCGAATTTCGACCACCGGCGCTAAAAATTCGCCGGGGGGGGGGCTATTGGGGGCGCGGCTGGAGATGCTCTAATACACCGGGTTCGAGTCATGGAAATGAGCCGTGGGTGGAGTTTCTTCCATAGAAATATGCCTTCAAGCATTAATTCTGAATGGTCTTGATCTTTTTTAAACATAGTACAGACGCAAGCGCTCATATGCACGTGCATACACTCATCCCTATGAACGCACACACACACATTCTATTCCTGTGGGCATCTCCGAAAGACTGAGCCGACATATCATCTTGAAATTTACGAAGTCATCGTAGCCACATCGTCGTCGATGGGAACGTCTCCTCCCACTGAATGCGCGCATCACCGAAAATCCTGAAATAAATCCACGAATAAATGCAAACACCAGGATTCTGAATGATCCTATTTTTTTACATTGCTTGCCTCGTTTGCACAGGCAAGGTGCGGTGGTGTACTGTCTACTACTAGTACAATGGCCCATGGCTTCCCCGGTGTGAACCGGCGGAGATGCTGTTGCCGGGGCACATTCCATCCATGTCAGTCAAATGTCGTTGGATGGGAAGTGAACGGCCCAGTCTGCTTCTTCCACCTCCCGATGCAATGTCAGAGCCTCGCCGCTCCGCACTCCCCTGAACTGTCCCATCATTGTGGCCATCCCTCTAAAGGCTCCCTTCCCCACCCCCACCCCCACCCCAATCCTTGGTAACTCCGGTGACACAATTGCCTTTACCCGCACATGTTGACCTACCTTCTCGCCTTTGCTTGTGGCGCCACAACTCGTTGCCGCTTGAAGTGTCGTCCTCACCTCAAGTGATGTCATCGCTCGGCCTTGCCAGACCGACCAGTGGCGGAGGCTGGCTGGCCAGCAAGGCATGGGCCCTACCCAACATCCTACTTGCTACTATGCATATGAACAGTGGAATTTTTTTAGTGCTACCTGCAACCGGGACCCCTCAGCTGCCGAGTTCAAGAATTCCTACCTCTGCCACGGTGGCCGACACTCATCGTTGTTGCTCCTCACGTCATTAAGAAAAGGGCTAGCGTTAGAAAGAATTTAGAGACCTAAGAGCATATATAGCTGGACATCTCAACCCCCCCCCCCTCAAACGCGCGGGCGGATGTCCCAGTTACTGACCGATGAAAAAACAACCCAGGTGGGCATCCCAAACCACCTCAAACACCCAGCGGACGGCCCGATCACCGACCTGTCAAAAAAATGACCCATGCGGGCGCCTCACACGGGCCTCAAACACCCGGGCTAACCGACACCCCTCATATCCATCCCAAATATGTATGCAATATGGGGAGGCCCGGTCGTGACCGGGCGCGTCCGCCATGTGGGCCCCGACATCCCGACCCCACCACAAAAAATGCACCAAATCCACCCCACGACCGATCGATTCCATTTGCTCCTCTCCTCTCTTCTTCCTCCTCCGCTTCGGCCTTCTCGTAACTCTGCAGCCACCCTTGCTCCGTCGTCGTTCCGAGCCTCAGCCCCGCCAGCACCCGCACTGCAGTCCTCTGTTCCATGCTCGCCGCAGCGGACATCGTCGCCAGCCCGGATGCCACCACGATACGCCTGATAACTTTCGGGTTGCGCATTGCACGGGCAAGGGGCAGTGGTACATTGTGTACTAGTACAATGATCCATGGCACCCGCAGTGCGAAACGTGCGAGACGCTGCCGCCGGGCGTGTATACCATGTGTGTCAATCAAATGTCTTAAGTCGTTG